GATTTTTCTCTCTCCAGTAGGGTGAAGTATAGGAAGGGGGTGAGACAGCATGCCTGTCTCCTCCCATTACTTCTGACCCATCTTAGTTTTTCTGAACTCTTGTACCAATGGCAATAGCTGCTCTCACTTGGAAGGCTTAGTTATTCCTCCACCCTCCTTACTGTTTGCATCTTATTATAAGATTACCTCCTTTTTTATAAGCCTCACACACCCACCACCTTTATGACATTCTAGTACCCATAAATGTCATGAGGAAATTATGAATAAATCAATCTACACTAAAGAATTTATGGCTTAATGAAGAGATAGAGGTGACTTCTTTTACTAGATTTTAAAACATATTACAAAGCAATGATTATCAATACTATGTGGATTTTTTATTAATACATACATAAGACTCCAAGGGAAAAAATTCCATCATTAAAAGAATAATGATTTATATGATAACTGAAATAACATAATGATGGAAAAATAGTATTAGTATTTTGGAGAATGCTGGGTACTACTGGGAAAAGAGCTGATCACATTATATCCTAATCTGTGGCCCATTTTAAATGAATCAAGCAACAGACATTAAAAGAAACCTGGAAAATAAGTTCATCCATTTAGTCAAGAAAGAATAGATAAATGTATGATGTTAAACCAAAAAAAGGCTATAAAAAGGCTATGAAGAATAAGATGAATGGGCATAAAGAAGAAAATAAATTGTTTATACAACTAAATGTACTGAAAAAAAGATAAAGAGCAAAGTAATGTTTGTGTCAATTGCAGCCTAACTAGTTATTAAAATTATGAATGAAAAGACAATTGAAAGCCCCATAATGTACCCTGGTTACTCAGCCATAAGTTACCCCACACTTGGAAGAGCTGTGGCAAAATCGGAATGACTTTCACTGCAGGGGACATGGTAAGTTAGCTCATTCTCACTAGACCACAACTGGACCTACCCATTCATTCCTTCTTTGATTCAAACAGTTTACCAAGTGCCAACTTCTGCCAGACCGTACTAAGTACTGGGATTCAGAGTTGAAAGAGACTAAGTTCCTGCCTCCCAGAACTTTCCATGTAGTAGGAGAGGCAGATGAATAATCAGTGGTCATGGTCCAGTCTGAGAGTTGGGTGGGTGATACAGTATTACCCAGAGGAGAAAGACTCAACATGTCTAGCAGAGCCGGACGCCTTTCCAAAAAGGAGTCTTAAGGGAGGAATAGGGGTTGCCAGGTGGAGCAGAGGAAAGGCATTCCCTGAAAGGGGTGGGCCTACGTAAGCAAACAATGGTGAGGCAGCCATATCTTTTTCAGAAACTGGCCAGTGATTTGGTGTGAGCCCAAGTCAAGAGGGGTTCCATGTGAATGGAGACTGGGAGGCAGTCAGCGGCCAGACCACAAAGGGCTCTCTCTGGGGCAAGGAGCAAGTTTCCATCCTAGGTACAATGGGAACCCAGCAAAGCAATTGAACTAGGGAGTGGCATGATCGAATCTGAATCTTAGAAAGAGCCTCTCAATATATAAGAACTATCTAAGCATTTCTATTCTTTTGATGAGTGAGTCTATTTTAGAGGAATATTGTGAAAGGAAATAATTTGTTTAAAGATGTTTATCCCAATGACAACTGGACAAATGGGGCATGACCCACATGCTCAACATGCATTCATGGAAAAGAGAGACAAATATACGTATAGATTAACATTCAGAATTCTCTAAAGAAGATGAACAAATGGCCAAAAAGCACATGAAAATATGATCAATATTATTAGTCAGCAGGGAATGCAATCAAAATCAGAGGGAGAAATCACTTCACATCCACTAAAATGCTATAAATTTAAAAAAAAAAAAAAGGAATGGAAAAATCAGAGCTGGTGGGAATGTAACATGGAGTAGCCAATTTGGAAAGTAGTTTGGGAGTCCTTCAAAACCTTAAGCATGGGATTACTCCATGACCCAGCAATTTAACTTCCAGATATACACCCAGAATAATTGGAAACAAGTACTCAAACAAATCCCTGTACCCAAATGTTCATAATAGCACTACTCAGAATAGCCAAAAGGTGGAAACAACCCAAATGTGCCCATCAACAGAAGAATGGACAAATTGGTATATCCATACAATGGAATATTACTCAACAATGAAAAGCAATAAAGTACTGACACATAGAACAACATGGATGAAGCCCAAAAACATTACATTAAGTGAACAAAGCCTGACATAAAAAGTCACAAAGTTTATGATTCCATTTATATGAAATACCCAGAATAGGTAAACACATAGCAACAGACAGCAGTTCAGAAGTTACCAGGAATTGTTGGAATGGGGATGAGGAAAATGGGGAGTAACTGCTTAATGGAAATACAGTTCTCTTTAGAGCAATGAAAATGTTTTTCAAATTACATACAGATGATGGTTGTACAACCTTTGAATGTACTAAATGCCACCAAATTACACACACACACACAAAATGCTAGTTTTAGGTCACATGATTTTCACCTAAATTTAAAAAAAAAAGTAAATCTGGAAATCCAAATGTACAAAAGTATATGAAAAAGTCAACTTAATAATCAGGAAAATATAAATTAAGACTCCAATAGACATATAAGTAAGATTCCAATGGAAACCCATTAGAAGTTGAGCCTAGTGATGAGACCAAGTGATGGTCAGAATGGGAAGGAAGAGGGATTCTTAAACCAGGCTGGTGCCCATGTACCTCAGCAACCATAATGGAAACTGTGCTGGCATTATCTGCTCAGCTGCAGAATTTGTATCTCCTGTTACCAGGACTGCAGTCCCAGATATAAAACCAACAAAAATGTGTGCACATGTGTACCAAGAGACATGTACAAGAATATCCAGAGCCACAATAGTATACTGATAATGAAAGGAAACCAGCTGAATGTTGTTCAAGAAAAGTGGATAAACACATATAGATAAATAATACATTAATGTAGTGGAATATTATACAGCTATAAAGATGATTGAACCATAGTCACATACAACAGCAGAAATGAATCTCAAAAGCATAATATTCAGTAAAAGAAGCCAGACACCAAAGAATACATCCTCCATTGTATAAAGTTGAAAATTATGTAAAATGGAACTTCAGAATTTTCTAAAGGTAAGGAAACTATCACTATAAGAATCAAGATGATGATTACCTATAAGGGTAAACAAGAGGCACAGGGTAGCTTCTGGGGGGTAATGCTTTTTCTTGATCTGTTCCATGGATGTTGGCTCTGGGACCAATCATTGGATTATACTGATTGTGTGTGCTTTTCTGAATGGATGCTATATTTCACAGCAAAGAAGTTTAAAGAGGAATAAATTATTTGCACTTATCAGTACTTTATTATCAGAAATGAATTCCTTATGACACCCATCCTAGCCCCCACAACAACCTCCTTATCATCTAATAATGTCCTTATCATCTAACACAGTGGGTGTTCCAATGACACTGACTTTACTAGCTCAGCCCTAACCAACTAGGGTCACAAGAATCCACGTTGCGGGGCGGGGGAGGGGGGTGTCGCTGTAAAAAGGGGGGAGGTATGAAACACTCAGGAGCTGAGACTCTTTGGACTTTGGACCTCACAACAGCTCTAAATTGATATCAAGGAATCCAGCCTACAAACAGAGGAAGAGAAAGAAATACCAAAATTTCTTTCCCCAGAACCCTTTTTCTTTTGGGGTGGGTTGCAGCAAAATTCACAAAAAACCACAGAGCCCAACGCTTCCTTCTGCCACTGCCTATATCACATGCAAAATTGCAATGTTCCATGAGCTATGATGCTGAGAAGCCAAAACTAAGCTCCAGCTGCCCTTTGATCTGCAAGAAATGCCAGACTGGACTCTGGCAGAAAAAACTGTCATGGAATTTGGATCTTGCTCCCAAGGAGACAATGCGCTAGGCTGTCCCAGGCTTCCGTAGGCACACAGTTAACCAAAACACCCACCCTGCCCGGTTTCCTTCAGAGGGATAGGGGTGGCTTCCCCGTCTCTCCTTACCATACTTAATCTATGGAGACTCCATTAATCTCCTGAATTCAAAGAGGTCAGAGACTAATGTTTGGAGAATGTTCTCCACAGAGCTTCTAGAGATCTGGGTTCAAGTCCTGCCTTTTGGACTGGCCACTTCCCACACCTCTCTCACCATGGGTGCGCTCCTTGGTGAGAATGCCTACATTGCTTCCAGCACGGCTACTGCAAGGATCCAGCTTTCATTTTCATCACTTACTGTGTGTCTACTAAATGCCAAGGTGTGAAAATCATGTTATTTCTAATCTCTTTTTTTTTTAATTAATCCTCACAACATGGACTAGGAGGAAAGGAGAATTAATTAGTCTCCTTTTTCAATTGTGGAAACTTAGACACAGAGCAGTGCCCAAGATCACCCAACCAGGCACAATCCAAACCCAGGCAGATTGACAACATCTTAACCGAAATCTTTTCTGACTATTCATCCAACTGCCCAGCTCTCTACATCACTCATGCTTCCACTGCCCACGGTGGAAGTGACTCCCTCCATGAGCGCGCTGTTAGGCTTAGGGCAATTCAGTCCTGTTGTTTCTGGAGAGGCAAAGGCTCCAGGAGCCTCAGCGGGTGGTCACGCTTCTGCACCTGTGTGCAGCGAGGGCACAAGCCTTGTCCCTACAAACAGTCAGACAGCACGCACAGCTCGAGCATGGGCGCTGGGTGAGCTGGAGCTAACTGCCCCTGAGGAGCCGCTGGTTGCTGTCACTGTACTTAAAAAGTTTCTCTCGGCCCAAAATTGGAGGAGCCGCGCCCAGCTCAACCACCTCGGACGCCCAGACAGCTATCCAACTCCCCGACTGCCGGGCGATTCCCTTTCGCCCCCTAAGCCCCTGCCCAAGCCCGCGGGCGCGCACCGAGCGGCGAGGACTCCCTTTTATGTCCAGGAATGAGGCGCGCACCGCAGCCGCGCCCACCGCCAAACCAACTTCTCCAGGGCGCAGCGGCAGCCTGTGCCACCCTCAAGCCCGGTCGCTTACCTGCAGTGGCGCGGGTCCGGGTGACCGTGGGGAGAGACGCGGACACCAAAAGCACCAGCAGCAGGCGCCGGCACTGCCCATTTCTCCTGGAAAAAAGTGGCCGAGGGAGAGAAGGTGAGGCGGGAGAGAGGGGCTGAGGAGCCGCGGCGCAGGGATGCGGGTCCTACCTTGGCGCCATCTCGCGGGTCTGCGGAGCCCCCAGAAGGCGCGGAGCGGCCGAGCTCGGCGGAGGGTGGAGGAGCGCTGCGCGCCGGCCGCCGCTCGCCCTTCCTGCAGGAACAAAGGCGGCGTTGGGCAGCTCGACGTTGGGCAGGATCCCGGCTGCCGACCCGCGCCCTGAGTCACCCGCGCGCTCTAAAACTCGACTCCGCCTCGCCCTGCGCTCCCCCGCGCGCCACGCCGCGCCCCACTTCAGGCAGCGGCGGCGCACTCACGCCCGGGGCATCCCCGCGGCGCCGAAGACCTCCCCACGCCCCCTTCCACCCTCGAAAGACGCAGGCTTCTGGCAGCAGCTTCCACCCTGGGCGGCCTTAAGTAACCCTCCAGAATAGCCCCCCGCCAGAGCTCCTGCGAATCAGCGGGACACAGCTCCCTCCCGCCTGCGCGTCTGGCCTGGCCTGTCGGGGGCTGCCCCTCGAGCAAAATTCTCCTTTTAGGGGCCTAAGGAATCTTCACAATGGCCCGGGGAGGCTCGAACCCCTGTGATTTTCCTAATTGACAGGAGAAACTGAGGATCAGAGAGGTGGGGCGCGTTCCCTGGGTCACCCAACTGGACCGAGCTCCTGCAGCAGCCAGCCTGACTATGCACTTGCTTGACTGCCCAGGAGCAGTCCTGTTTTGAGGGTATAAATGATGCTATAATTAAATGCAGTAAAGTTAATCCTAATACAATCTTGTAAAGAATCTACTTTTTCAAGATTTTCCTCTCTATATTTTGCTTACACCCCCCAACTACCACTAGAATGTCAGCTCCAGAAGGGCAAGAGTTTATATTTGTTTTGTTTCCTGCCTAAAATATTACCTGGTAGCAGGAGATGCCAATGAACACTGTGTGGATGAAGGAACAGTCTGAGGGACTCCAGGCACTGTGAGATGTGAGGGAAATGAACCAGACTCAGCCTCCAAAGCCTCCAATGGTGTGTGGTTGGTGGGAGGGCTCAGGGTAGACTACCCCACCTGTGCAGAGCCTGCATAAGGCCTGGCATTGGCCAAACCCTCAAATGGTGGCTTCTATTACGGTGATTACCTCAGGCACAGTGGCTCAAGATGTTTGTGCCAGTGCTGAAACCTGCATAGTTCTGAGCCAGGAAAGCCTCACGGGCCTCTCTTCCTGATGCACTGAGTAGCCACCATGTGCCGTGGCTTTCTGGTCAGTCCCTGATTTTCATCTGGTCTCCCATTCTAGAAGGCAAGTTACCAACTGCCAAGTGAAAAGGCCATTTGACTTAGCCCTTGTAAGTTAAATCAAGCTTTTTTATGCCCTCCCACCACTAGCATTATGACCGGCACCTCCTAGGTGGCAGCACAGATGTGGGATGACAGATATGGACATGGTTCACTTGTGCCTATGATTGTGGACTCCTGGGCTCAGAGAGCACAGGGTGTGCACATGTGTAAATGCTCATGTGTGCCTAGAGGCGAGGATAAAGGGCAGTGGCGACATCATGGCAAGGAGGACCGCTGAGGCGAGACCACAAGACTTCAACACTGAGAGGGAGAAAGAACACCAGAGAGAGGCAAGAGAGAAAGCCCAAAGATTCGTGAGGGTCTGCAGGGCTCCATTGCCTCCTGAGCCTCCCAGTCCCCACCCCTGCCTGGCATCCCTGCCTGGTGTGCCTGCTGTACATGGTTTCCTGCTCCAACATTAGAGGCCTGTAAAAATCCACGGAGGGCTTTAAACTCTATCCATCTGCCCGAATGGACGGTGAACCTCCCCGCCCTGGGCGTGCTTGCATACAGCCCAGCAGAGGAGAGGTGAGCAGGCATGCTTCGCCTGTGTTATCTCATGTAATCCCAGCAGCCCTGGAAAGGGGGTACTGCAGTGATCCTCACTTCATAAGATGACAGGCTGAAGTTTAAAATATGCCCAGATTAGCATGTGACAGGTGCCAAAACCCATCCATGCCCATGAATAAGAGCATTAGACCCATGCCCTACCCCCAAGAACAAAACTGCAGTGACCCATGAGGCATGAGGGCTAATGATCTGGGGGATCAGGAGCTGGGGTTCCAGTTCAGTTCTAACCCTGGCTTCAGAGTGAGGGTGGGCGAATCCTGTCCCTGTCTCATTTTTTATTTCTTCATCTAACAAAACTGTATTCACTGTGTCGATGATTGGCTGGCATTCATAAGGGCTACTGCCATCAGTTAAGGCTCTTTGTTCTTCAGTTTGCTATAGTCCCCACCTCTCCCTATTGTTCCCCAACACCAAGGCTAAGAATCGTTTGCCGTTTAGCATCATACATGCATTCTGCCTTTTCTTATATTGAAGAGAAAGTAGAATAGACAAAAATGTGATATATGTAGATGGAGAGCACACACTCTGTGTTTCAAGAAACATGGGAGAACCTATTTCTACAAGTTTAATATACAAATAAAGTACATCTACACTGAAAGATGAAAACTTAGGTGCCATTATGAAATAAACCTGCTCCCCACCAGTTCTGTATTTTACCTGAAGGACAAAGGCAGAGCTGCATTTTGATTGGTGGATTTGATTGTGATCCTATTGACCAGTCCAAGAATATATGATACAGCCAAAGTTTTCTTTACCTCCCTGGCAGGGAAGTGCTGTGTCGTGAGGGTAACAATGAGAATAAACTTACAGCTGCCATCCAGGGAGGGCCCTTTTGTTCTGATGAGCACCTGCCTGTGTTTAGATATGCAAGGGGCAAGCTGATTTGAAAATCTGACCATCTAAGAGGAAAGAGGACATAAAAAAAGGAGGGGGTTGTGTCCGACACCTCCTGGGGCCACTGTCATTGCCGGGTCCTCCTACCCCAGCTCCATCTCTGTCCTGTATGTGCTCTATGGGCCTGGCCTTCTAACTGTGGGGAACTGCCAGCACCTGCTTCTCTTTACCTGCCCACGTGATTTCTCTGGCACTTGCAGCCTGCTCTGTCCTCAGCCCTGCAAACCTGAAGTGCTGAGGAATGAGCCTGCCCTTCTGCAGCCTGAGCCAATGCTTGCAAGGAATGGTAGATAAAAGCCTCATTCTCCTTTTTCAGTTGGTGGGAGCCCCTAACCCCCACAGTCTCCATGCCCCTACACCCTCTTGCCCCAAGTGCACATTGAACACCTCTAGCTTCCTGTCCCAGGACTTCCCTATTGATGCTGAGGTCAACCCTCTGCTGTTCGCGCAGCATGCGCAGCCTGGACAGGCAGTGGAAATAACACCCCAGGAAGCAAATTTCCAGCCAGTGTAAACCAGAAATCCATCTCCCTACTTCTGGATGCACCATGCTGAAAAGTCATTTGTAAGGCTTCTCAAGAAGGTGGTCTCTCGACACTGAATAATCAGGCATGTGTAATGCTTCTTGGTCCTTCTCTCCCTCATTGCCCTTTTCTCCACTTCTGCACCCCAGGAATTTCCTCCCTAAGACTGCTGTCTGCATAAACTAGAATAAGGTAGATGGCGGAGTTTATCTTTCACACTCTCACATGTATCTAACAAGGTATCTAAAGGAGTTGTTTCTGGACCTGCTAACCAGGTCTAGTTAGCAGAATATCAGAAGTGTTATAATCTGTGGCATGTCAGGATGATAAGGTCCTAAAGACTATGCTATAATAGAGAATATTACGTAATATATTATAGAGAACAGGAGCGTTAGCATAGCTCTGGGACAACAAAGTGAACGTGTACTACTCTCCTTGCAATTTGCTCTCAGGTTTCCCCACTGATAAGGGCTGGGACCTCACTTGCCCAAGACCATGCTGATGTGCTCCAGTGAAGATGCCCCATCTGTCACGGCAGCTGCAATTGAGGTTGCCATCTGACCAAGTTTATGGCAACCCATTATTATCGACCTCAATCCAGTGACTTTTGCAAGGGAATCAGTGAATTAGTGGAAATAGGATTGACCACCCCTGCACTGCTTAAGTCTTAATGGCTCTAATCTCTGAAATGCTTCCTGGGAAATGGTATTGCTTTTGGTTTGCTCTGGGAGACGGGAAAGGGAGGCGGTTACAAGAACTTCCACTTGACCTTTCCCACCAAATGCCACAAGTCAAGTAGCTAACAACAGAGTCCTGCCAGAGGCCAAGTATATATTCTAAACATATGTTTTTAAGAGGCCTAAGAAGGTCTAGAAGGCCAGTAAATTATGTGAATAGGTAGCTCAGATTCCCAAGCCACTTTGTACCAGCATCTTTCTTCAACGGACACTTCTGGGCGCCCTGGGTGTCTTCCTATAACCAATAAACAAAGAAAACATGAACTTGGGCCACCTATAGCTGAGTGTGTGTGTGTGTGTGTGTGTGTGTGTGTGTGTGTGTGTGTGTCTCGGGGTGTTAGTGCTGCAAATGGACTGTTATGGCATAGTCCACTCAGGAATGGCCCAAAGGTCGATGGTGAAGAGAATTCCTTCCAGTGGGTGGAATTATATGCAGTACACTTGGTCAACCAGTTTCAGGGAGGGAGACACAGTCTAAGTTACAGATTTACGCAAGCGCCCTGGTTGTGGGCAAAGGTCTTGGATATCAGGCAGGGGCTTGAAACATTGGATGATTGGTCACAAAGGAGATGGAAGGGAGAGTTAAGTGACTGACATTGGGACCAGGCACAAAATGTGTTGGTCTTTGTATCTCACAGTGCTCACCAGAGAGCATCCACATTCAACAACCACATGGACAGTGACTAATCTGTTGATGGCAGCCAGCCTCTCTGGCTGCCCCAGGGTGGACAGGGCAGAGCTGTAAGCAGACTGGCATGATGGCAGTGGTAAGCGCTGAGGAAGGACCCAGCAGAATAGCCCCCTTCCTTTAAAGCAGATCTAGCAAATGACATCTCTCCATCCCAGCCTATCAGCTGCAGAGACCCTCACTGAAGCTGCAATGTGGCATCGTTCCTCAGAGCCAACCATTTGATGACAAATTGTTTTCTTCAGACTCTTCCCTGGTCAACCTTCTTCACCAGCATAGACGCCTACCTGGTTGTGGGTTTGTCTCTCCTGACCCGATACCTTTGTGAGCACCAAGAGCACTTTAGTTACTTATCCATACGGTCTCCCATCCAGCATTGCCTGATGAATGGACTCGTTTTATGGGCAAAAGAGTATATAAGTATGACAATGGGTGAAAGACCAAGAAACCTCATCACCCAGAAACATCTAGCTTAGCACAATGGT